GTAACACTGAAGATGGCAAGAAGCAGTGGCAGAGAAATGGTGGCAGTAGAGACTGGCAGGAGATGGTGTAGTGGGCTTCCAGGCCTGTGGAGTGAGAAAGCTGAGTGCCTTTGGGCAGGAGGCTTGCTGGTGGAGTAGTGTGCCTCCAGGCACTGGGTGGAGCTAGGTTTGCTGACCTATGGAGCTAGAGCTGAGCACCTTTGGGCTGAAGCTCACTGCAAAGTGGGGTGCCTCTGGTGACTTATCAGCAGAGCTAAAAGAGCTTTAAAATACTTGCCCAAGCAGGGCAGAGGGCTGAGGGCCAGAGAGAAGTGTGCCTGCAGGCAAGGCTGAGAAGAAGCTGTCCTGATGGAAGAACTGTATCCTGAGAGCTCCTGAACCTGAAATGTAACCAGTCACTTCCCTAATAAACCCCGTAACTGTTGAGTATAGTCTGTGAGTTCTGTGTGGCCACTGCAGTGAACGGAACTCAGCAGAGAAGTCGAGAGTGCTGTGGGAGGGACAGCTGTGTCAGAATTGGTAAAGATGGCGGAGAGAGGAGGCATGTCTGACCTCCACCTCATAGGAATCAGCCTTGGACGGTTATCTTGATTGTCCTTGTCCCTGGTGAAGATAGACGTGGTCAGAAGCTTCCCTCAGGCCATTTTTACATCCCTGAAGGACAGTGGTGAAGGGAAATCCTCCCAATGGGCAGAATTTTGAGCAGTGCACCTGGGTTGTTCACTTTGCTTGGAAGGAGAAATAGCCAGATATGCAACTGTATAATGATTCATGGGCTCTGGCCAATGGTATGACAGGATGGTCAGGGTCCTGGAAGGAACATAATTGGTAAACTGGAGAAAAGGAGGTATGGGGAAGAGTATGTGGTTACACCTCTCTGAATGGTCCAAAGAAGTGAAGGTATTTGTGTCTTATGTGAATGCTCACCACAACATGACCTCGGCAGAGGAGGATTTTAGCAATCAGGTGGAAAGTCATCCTTTTTCCCCAGCCATTCCTGTCATTGCCTGATGGGCTCATGAACAAAGTGGCCATGGTGGCAGGGATGGAGGTTATGCATGTGCTCAGTTATGCATGTACTCAGCAACATGGACTTCTGCTCACCAAGGCCGACTTGGCTACAGCCATTATAAAGTGCCCAATCAGTCAGCAGAAGACACCAACACTGAGTCCAGGATAAGGCATCATTCCTCCAGGCTATCAGCCAGCAACCTGGTGGCAAGTTGATTACATTGGACCACTCCCATCATGGAAAGGGCAATGTTTTGTCCTTACTGGAACAGGATACGGATTTGCCTTCCCTGCACCCAATGCTTCTGCCAAAACTACCATCCGTGGACTTACAGAATGCCTTATCCACTGTCATGGTATCCCACACAGCACTGCCCCAGATCAAGGGACTCACTTCACAGCAAATGAAGTGTGGCAGTGGGCCCATGCTCATGGAATTCACTGGTCTTACCATGTTCCCCATCATCCTGAAGCAGCTGGATTGACAGCATGATGGAACAGCCTTCTAAAGATATAATTACAGTGCCAGCTAGATGGCAATACCTTGTAGGGTTGGGGCAATGTTTTCCAGCAGGCTGTATATGCTCTAAATCAGTGTCCAATATATGCTGCTGTTTCTCCCACAGCCAGGATTCATGGGTACAGGAATCAAGGGGTGGAAATGGGAGTGGCATCACTCACTATTACCCCTACAGACCCAATCGCAAAATATTTCCTTCCTGTCCCTAAAACCCTATGCTCTGCGGGTCTAGAGGTCTTAGTTCCAAAGGGAGAAATACTTTTGGAGACACATCACTGATTCCAGTGAACTGGAAGTTAAGAATGTCCTCATACCTCTGGATCAACAGGCAAAGAGAGTTACCACACTGGCTGGTGTGACTGATCCTGATGACCAAGAGGAAATCGGATTCATATTACATAATGGAGGTAGAGAAGAGTATGTCTGGAATACAGGAGATTCCTTAGGGCATCTCTTAGTACTACCATGCCCTGTGATTAAAGTCAATGGAAAACTACAACCCAACTCAGACAGAACTACTAATGGCTCAGACCCTTCAGGAATGAAGGTTTGGGTCGCCTCACCAGGCAAAGAACCATGACCAGTTGAGGTGCTTGCTGAGGGTAAAGGGAATATGGAATGGGTGGTAGAAAAAGGTAGTTCTAAATACCAACTCGGACCATATGACCAGTTGCAGATATGAGGACTGTAATTGTTGTTAAGTATTTCTTCCTTCTATGTATGCATCAAATATTTTTGTTTTCTTCACTTACAAAATGTAAGATGTAAATGGGGCTATTGCATTTTCAGTTGTAGGCATGTTAGCTGTATCATGTTACGTACAGGTTATGACTTTATAACTGTCTTTATTTACAGATTATGTATGGTTTAAGGAGATACATTCAGGTGCCCAGTTGACAAGGGGTGGTCTGTGATGGTTAAGGTCGTGTATCAACTTGGCTGTGTCAACATGATTCTCAGTGGTTTGGCAGTTATGATGTAGTTTGGTAATTATGTAATGATGCAATTTGGCAGTTATGTAATGTTGTAATAAACTCCATGATGACATCTTGTATAAGCAGCCAATCAGTTAGAAAGGAGTTTCCTTGGGGGTGTGGCCTGCCTCCAGTATGTAAATGGATATTCCAGCAAGGCTCTCGCTCTGGATCCTGCATCTGGCTCGTCATTATTTGATCTCTGGTTCTTGGAACTTGAACTAGCAGTTTACTTGCCAATCTTGGGTTCATCAGCTCCTGCATCTATGTGAGTCAGAAGAAGCCTCCAGCCTGACACCTGAGCCACAGACTTGGGACTACCAGCAACTACAACTGCATGAGCCATGAGCCATTTCCTTGAGATAAATCTCTCTCTCTCTTTGTTGTTGTTGTGTGCTGTTGAGTCGATTCCAACTCACAGCGATCATATAGGACAGAATAGAGCTGCCCCATAGGGTTTCCAAGGAGCAGCTGGTGGATGCAAACTGTTGATCTTTCGGTTAGCAGCCTGAGCTCTTAACCCCTTTGCCACCAGGGCTCCATTTCTCTCTCTCTATATATATACACACACACACACACTTCTTTGATTTTGCTTCTCTAGAGAACCCTGCCTACGACACCAACCAAAAATTTAAACACACTCAAACAGTAAGCATACATTCCACACTGAAAACACATGCCATGAAAACAATAATAAAAATTTGGTAACTAGAGGGTTAAAAAAACTGAAGCCCTAGGACAGAGTCCAGGCTGTGGAGCAGCCTGGGACAGAGCTATGTGGGTGGCTGAGGTGAGACTGCAGGGCTCTTTGAAGGCCAGGTCAGAGCCCAACACTGATCTTGCAATCAGTGAGAAACAAGCACAGATTTTTTTAAATGGAAATTTAAGTGCACAATTTGATGAGTTCTGACAGATGTATATACTGCACAGCCATTCCCCCAATCAAACATTTCTATCACTCCAGCATGTTCCTTTACGCCTGTTTCCAACAAATCCTCCTCACCCCTATAAGTAACCATGTCCTAGTTTCCATCACCATTGATAACGTGGGCTTATTACAGGTTCTACAGAATGGAAGTGGTGTAATTTGCAGCAGTCTTGCAAGAAGAGTAATGTGACAGGAACATGCAGGAAAGACCTGAGTCAGAGAGAACACGCAGCAAAGACTTGAGTCAGAAAGAGCAAAGGTAAGTCGGCAGGCAGCCGGCACGGTCTGGCAGGCAGCACATTCCTCCACAGTGCCAGGCGTATTGTGGTCAGTCAGAAGACAGCACTGCCACTGTTGAATACACAAGACGGCAAGGTCTTCCCATCATCCCCATTTCTGAAGCCTGGTCTCCATCTCTCTAATGACGTACCTGTGCCACTGCACAATGTTACCAGGGACGGTTTGGCAGTTTTGCGTGCACTCAAGCATGTGAGGTCAACAGGACGAAAGGGCATATATGTGGGACTCCACCAGCCCGGAGCTGTGGTCTGCACTGTGCTCCTTTCTGAGTACCTCCAGATGCCTGTCAAGGTTCTCACGTTGATGTGCAAGAGAACCTTCAGAAAATGGAGCAACACTCTGAACAAATGTGGGTGAGTGTATGAATTTTTCAGGGAAAAGATTTCATTAGATTCTCAAAGGGCTCCACGGCCTAAAAACAGGATTATGAATCCTGTTTGAGTTAAGTGACCCTGAGTTACTGAGTCCAGAAACGGTTGGGACGTTTCTAAAACTTCAAACTCCATCAGGGGTGAAGAGAAAGTACTAATTTCATAGCAAAAGAAGACTCCTCCTCTCAACTTAAAGTCCTTTAATCCACGATTTCAGACCAGAGGAATATCTGAAAATACACCTGAAAGCAGAATGGAACAAAGGAACCCTTAGAACAGGACCACCAACGCACTGTGGCTAACGTCACTCACTAGTGCAGTCACACTGGATTCCGACCCTGTGAACATAAGGAAGTATGTCACGCACCAAGGAGCAACAAAATGCCGACACCACCATAAAAACACACACAGTCAAACAAACAACTCCTGCTTTTCAAGCCACTGTAATGAAAGCTCACCTTGACCTAACAGACTAGGGCCTCCTTACTGTCAGAAAATGGTGTATTTCAATGTGTTTCGGCTCGGGGATGGCCCAGCACAAGGACCTGCCCATCAGTCTCTCTCCACGGGCCTGACTCCAATTGGAGGTTGCAGTTGATGAGCCATTTAAAAGAATTTTCTAGGAAGTTTTGCCATGTGTGATAAATGCTGTTCACATGATATACTGTCAGAGCATGTCTACAGGAGCCCTCAGAATATCTTCAAATCTTAACTTTAATTCTGGAGTGTCTTAATGTCAACCTACTATGTTTCTAGTTTTACAGCTGCCATATATTCCTTTGCCTGTAACGCAAGTCAAGGAGATCTAAGATATGTGGGATGATTTTATTTTTTTTGTCAATTTGTTACGGACAACAGGAAAAGAGGGGAAAAAAAGGCAATGTGATTATAAATACCTGAGGTAAAAATTCTCTGGCTAGGTCCAAGGCCTTTCTGTAGGCAGCATCCCCCTCTTTGTTCTGTTCTAGAACGTGGCTGATCAAGCCTATTGCTTTAGCTTCCTGGCCATCCAGCACACGTGCAGAAAAGATGAGCTCCTTTGCCAGGGACATTCCAATTGCGCGTGGCAATCTCTGTGTCCCCCCTGCAGAATGGAAAAAAGAGAAAATTTATGCGATGATTTCACACCCAACTAGTTTTAACACTTCAGTGTTTCACTATTTTATTTACAAAAATAGAACAGGGCCAAAAGTTTATATGTCAAAATCAGTAACTGGAAAACTACTTTGAAATAGAATCTAACTTTGTAATGAAAGTTAATAGAATTAAAAACACCAAAAAGGCACTTGAGAATCTTACATCATTACTAAATGATTCTGACACTCAGTATTTCCTGCAAAGGCACCGGTATATTCCTGAATTCAAGCCACAGTTACGACCACATCAGTAACCAGAAGACGAAGAGCAGCTGAGAAGCAATGCTGTCCATTAAGATCACTTACCAGAGGGAAGCAGAGTCCTCCCACTCCAACTCGCACTTTCAGTTTAGATAAAACTTAACCACGTCCTGAGAAATTTAACGTAAGTACTTTTTTTTTTAAATTGTGCTTTGGGTGAAAGTTTATAGCTCAAATTAGTCTCTCATACAAAAATTTACACATACATTGTTATATGACCCTAATTGCTCTCCCTATACTGGGACAGCACACTCCTCCTTTCCACCCCAGATTGCCCATATTCATTCAACCAGCTCCTGACCCTCTCTGCCTTCTCATCTCACCTCCGGACAGGAGCTGCCCCTTTAGTCTCATGTATCTACTTGAGATAAGAAGCACACTCTTCACAAGTATCATTTTATGTCCCATGGTCCAGTCTAATTTTTTGTCTGAAGAGTTGGCCTTGGGAATTGTTTTAGTTCTGGGTTAACAGAGAGTCCGGGGGTCATATCTTCTGGGGTTCCTCCAGTTTCAGTCAAAGCATGAAGTCTTGTCTTTTTACATGAAAACTTAAATACTTTTTTTTTTTACTTTTTTTTTATTTTTATTGTGCTTCAGGTGGCTTACAGAACAAATAGTTTCTCATGAAACAGTAGTACACATATTGTTTTATGACATTGGTTAACAACCCCACGACATGTCAACCC